TGGAGTATTATTGTTCCATTTTCAAGTGAAAATGTGCTATCAGCATTCTCTTTCTCTCAGCATGATAAAATATCTGTGATAACATAACAAAGAAAAGATTTACTTTGGCTCATGGTAATTTCAGTGCACAGTCAGCTGGCTCCATGACTTTGGGCAGGATGTGGTGAGGGAGGACATCGTGGCGGAGCACACGGCACAGGGGGCTTGTTCACCTCCTGGCAGTCAGGAAGCTAGCATAGAGGAAGAGGCTGTGAGGGCCCATGCCCAGTGACCTCATTTCCTCTCACCAGGCCCTGCCTACTAGAAGTTGTACTCCACCCACAAGGTGGTACCTTAGACTGGTGACTAACACTTTATCACATGAGCATTGGAGAGACATTTGAGGTTCAAACCGTAGCCTGGGGAGCTATGCAACCTCAGTAATCAAAGGTCACTAGCAACTGTCCAGGGTGCTATGTATGAATACCAGTAACCTTGGTCCTTTTCAACAGCATAATTTACTAAAGGAAAGTTGTGTTTTATTCAGTGAACAACAAATGGGCCAGTGTGCAAAAATGAGTAACTATGTAACTCATTTTATAATGATAGTATATAAATACTTTTTAAATCAAGAAAATTTATTTAAAAGAATCGTATTTTCATATGGACAAAAAATTGAGGTGCTAATACAGAGCTCCCAGGTATACTATGCATGGTTTGTTATATTGTTTTTATAATTTTATATTACTGTACTGCATTTGTGACAATTAATGAATTAACATTGACATGGTATTATTAACAAAGTCCGTACTTTACTCAGATTTCCATAGTTTTACCTATTGTATTTTTCCTATTTTAGTTATTTCATTTATCTATTTATTTTGGTACTGATAATCGAACTCAGGACCTTGTGCTTGCCAGGCAGGCACTGTGCCACTGAGCCGTATCACTGCCCTCTGTTTTTCCTGTTTTAGTGCGTGCCTTACTGTTAGTTGTCATCTCTCCTTAGGACTTCTCTTGGCTATGATATGGCTGGAATGACCGTATTTGGATGATCATGGTTTTAAATTTTGTTTTCATTTAAAGTTATGATGTGTATTAAAAGAACATATTAATGGACTCAGTGTGACATTTCCATACATGCTTGTAGCTTGCATGGATCAAATCCAGCCTCTTTTTCTGCCTCCTCTCCTCCTTCCTCATCTGTAGCAGTCTCTATTCTACATGCTAAGGAGACTTTTTTTTTCTTTAGATTTCACGTTGATCTTAATAGTTTTGAGGAATGCTTGTTAGGATTATTATAGAAGGTACTTCTTTTGGAATTTTAAAGATGTTTTTATCATAGTTAGAAAGGATTATAGGTTTTGTGGAGGAAAACTGTACACGTAAGTGCCACTCTGCCATGTCAGATCAGAAATGTATAGATAGTACCACTCTGATCTTTTAGTGTTCGTATTGACCTTCTTTGTTTAGCTTCATGTTAAACACTTTTATTCTAAAATATCCAGAACTCACAAAGGAGTGTGTGTTTCCATAGTGTCAGTGATAAAAAAGACAATCTGTACTTTTCTATTTCCACTTTTCTTATAGATTGAGTTTTTTGCATATCATATACTTCTTTAAAAACTGCTTCATTGAAATACATGTCATATATCATACCATTTAATGTATGCAATGCAATGATTTGTTCAGAATTATGCACCCATCACCATAATCCATACTAAAATATTTTGTCACCTAAAAATAGAACTCCATAGCCACTGGTAATTATTCTCCATTTTTCTCTGACTCCCCCCCTCATTTCTCTCCCCCACCTCCCAACCTGAGGCAATCTCTTATATGGCTGTGTATGTTTGCCTATTCTGGACTTGAAACATAAATACTCCTATCTGACAGCTCCATTTTTAATATTTTGAGGAATCTCCATGCTATTTTCCATAGTGGCTGCACTGATTTATGTTCATGTAACAGTACGCATAGATTCCCTTTTCTCAACATCCTTGTGATATAAGGGAAAGAAACTCACAGCCTGCTATGTGTCTGGTATGAGTTCGTGTTCTCTAAAATTGAAGAATGAATTTTAGGAACAATGGAGGCTAAGAGCAGAATATATTCATTGAGAGAAAGAAAACTTCTGAGAGAGAGACTGAAGGGTCCTGAGTGGTTGCCAAAGAGACTGTCTTTTTTTCAGGACTTTTATAGTGTAAAACCACAAAGTGAGGCAGTCTGAGGTGGGGAAAATATGCTAACTAGCAAGGTGGGCATGAGGTGGGACAGAGCTATGGCCAGTCAGTGAGATTAATTGCTCAGCTAAAATTAATTAAATCAGGAACCAATGGGCAAGAGAGTCACATAGCAAGAGGACATAGATAAACAACAGTGACCTCTCATAGGAGGTTGGGATGGTGACTCCTGGCTTCTTCAGGGTGATAGAGATCTGTTTAGAATATCAATTCCTGCTGCTCATGCTTAGGAAGTATGTGGATGCATGATTTGTCTTTTGTCTTGACATCGGGACCACAGCACAGGTGTCTCTCTCCTCCAAGGTTGCAAGGTATCTGGTCTTCTGCACTGGCTCCCTCCAGGCCCTAGCCCTGTCTGACAGCCTATAATGTTTCTATCTAACTCAGCTGCCTGTAACACTTGGCCACATTTTTTTTTTGTCCCTTTGGTAATAGCTATGTAACTGAAATGAAGTGATATTTAGGTGATTGTATATAATAAGTGCATGAAAAAAATTCTTAACAGCACTAATCATCAAAGGAATTTCTCAGATAAATATTCATTTGCATTTTCCTGTGTTATCAGTAGTCTTTTAGAGATATAGGTTTTTGAGATGAGTTCAAAATTTATAAATTGTTTATCTGATCTTTATACAAAAGTTTTCTGAGTATATGTGTCTCTCCCCGTCTCCTTTAATCAGTTTTTAAATCTGCACATTATTAGTGGGCTACTTTCATCTTATAAGTATAAACTGGTTTCAAAAGAGCTATAGATTTATACCTTTTCTGTTTATTTTTAAAAGGAAGCCTTAATTATCATCATGTGTGTTATATTTAAATCTAATAAATGAGACGAGAGGGTAGATGTGTATTATAGATCATGCACACTGTAATTAGTTAATCATTGAGTATGAAAAATGCATGCTAATAGTTGCTTTTTATGTTCTTCAGTTATAGAATACTTACTTCCGTGCTTACAAATGATGTGACATGGGTGATAATCCCCTCCTAAATGTTACATTTTAAGCTTAAACATTCTTGGCTTAGAAAGATTTATTTATGTGAAACAACCGTATGGTAGCCTCCAGGTTAAAAAAAAAACAAAACAATGGAAGTATAATGTTGACATGTCACATGACATGCACTTATGAGAAACATAAAGTAGCCACCATTTATTCCCCAGTTCCACACCTTACAATTTCAGGGAAATTGATGGAAAGAGTAGCATAAGCCATTGTTCTCATGCAGGAGGAGCCCAGGGCCCGCCTGGGGAGGTATCTTGGTGGTAGTGAAACTTCAAAGATGTTTTTCTCTGTACTATTGCCAGGCCTCAGGCTAAATATTCAAATCGGAGTACACAAAGTAACCAAATAACAGCCAATGTCAACAGATGAGTTAAACTGAAAGGGTGATGATATCTCTATCACAGTCAGAGCCTCCCTTGCTTTGAATTCCTTGTCATTTATGGAGTGCCACCATGTGTTAGGCATCCGGCTAAGTGTTCCATATTCACAGATAAAATGAAAAATGCTTTACATTACGAAAATTGTCATCTGGTGGCATCAGGTGGTCAACAGAAAAGATCATTGAAAATGTAGCCTGCTAAATGAATTCATAGCTGAGCAAAGAGTCACCTCTTCCAAACTGGGCTAGCAGATAGAAATCAGGGTAGGTTTTTCAAGAGTCAAGGATGCCTGGATTGAGCCACCAAGAGTAATTAGGATCAGCCAAGCTGAAAGGGTTTGGGAAAACTTTCCTGGCAAAGGAATCACCAGGGATAGAAAGTATAGAAAGATTCAGGAAAACAGCCTTGTGGGCAGTTTGAAGCAGTTCTATGTGGCCTGGAGGAATGTAAGGGGGGCTGGGAGGAGAAGAGGCTTTTTATTCCACCTACAGGGGCGCAGACTCTCGACTGAAGTTTGAAAGTAGCCTTTAAAGGATGTTAGGCAGGACAGTGATGTGGTCTAAGATATCTTTTAGACTGTGCATAGGATTGCTCTGAAATGAAGAGGAGGAAAGATTGGGGAGGCTGCTTAGGAGAGCACTGCAGTCACTGAGGACCAAGGTGCCTTGCTGGCATCATTCTTAATGACATCTTAATGTACAAGTAAATGATAAGGAAATTGAGGCAGATGTTGGCGTTGAAAGAAGACATTAAAAGACAACGCCAGGGTTCAGAGTTTGCTGACCATGTCTTTTTAAAAGTAGCACATTTCATAATCGTGTTATTTGTTTCTTCTTTTCCTTCCCATTGTATCTTCGTACCTTCAAGAATCTTAAATAAAGTTAGCTGGTTTTCACAGGCAATATGATTTAAGGCAAAACATACCTTAGCAAGTTGTGAGATAACTCATGAATGAATTTGCCCTGCTTCATCTCACTAGCAAGTCTTTCCCTGCACCAGTACTCAGAACAGTTTGTAGCAAAGTTGGCGAACACTCAGAAACAAGGGCAGAAAAGGGTCCCAGTCACCGAGGAGGCAGTCACCCTTCAGTGCAGAGCCAGAATTGGTCAGCATTGCATTAAAGGGAAGTAATCCCTTGGGTCTGTTGATTAGCATTTGAAATTGTGTCCCTGATTTTCTTTTTATCTGTAGCAAGCTCTTTTTTCTTCTTGTCTCTAGGAAGAAGTGGTTGCAAAGTACTTCCCCTGTATGTAGGGGACTCAGTCCCTGCCAGTGGTTAAGATCTGAGTTCATGAAATGGGAAGTCCGGAGAGCAGCGGATTCTGCAGAGTGATTCTTTATCGAATTTTATGTTTTCTCCCTGAAATGCTTATTGTTTTACCCTTCGTTTTCAGGATGAACAGAAGGTACAGGAGAGCCTAAGACAAGGTGCCGTCATTATTGCTGCCTTAATGAAAGACAGAAACTCTGCGCTCACTGGTCAGCTGCTGGTGGCATGAAGCACATGGACAGGAAATCACCTTTCGGGCTTCTGATCATGTTTGCCTGTCTCTACTGCATTTCCTTCCCATCCTGCTGCCTCTTATTGTGTGCACGAGAGATGTTCAAGTTATTTTCTCTATCTTATAAGTTACAGGATGTGATACTTAGACAATAAAAGTGGGTCAGTGTTTGTGTCTGTCGCGTTGGGTATGTCAAATATAAATTGTCTGACTCACAAGAGACAATGACTCGCTTCACATAAAGGATCGTCTCACAAAGGAGAAGTGAAATTGGAATCAGCATGGTGAGCCATTCATTCCTTAAAGGTGTGAAAATTTAGAAAACTTTCGCTATGATCTTAACTCTGTTATTTAATAAATCACAGTATAATTGGCTAATGAATAAGATTCTAAAGTTGTTCTTTCAATATGTGACATTTTGTCTAAAAAACAGGTTACAGAAAATAGACCTGCTTCACACATTCTCACATTTTCCCTCTTTCCTATCTAGATCCCAAAAAGAGATGTAGCCTTTTGCTTTTCCATTATTTTTAAATTGTATGTTTTCTTGGGTTTATGAAGCATAATTTTGACTTTCATTGTTTTAAGGAGTCTGATTTTTCTGAATAAGTTTTTAAAAAGCCTGAAGAGCTTAATAAAACTCCAGTGACACTGGTTGGCCATGCTGGTGGTCTTCTGAGAAACCTGGAATCCACAGTTGAATGACTCTTTTGCTGTAGATATTACTGCCTTGTCAAATCAAGTTCTTCTTTTTCATTTTATTTTAAACAGAAAAAAACCCAAAGGTTCATAACGGGATAATAGGAGAGTAGCAGTGGTTGATGCATTGTGTATTGTTATCTTCAGAGTAGTTAGAGTACAAGATATAGGCATGAAAAAACTGTCCAGACAGTATTAGCACGAACCTTTCTTCTCAATGAACTAAGAGGAATTAGTAATATGTCTTAGCTACTTGGAGTATATATAATATATATTTCCTTTCTACTTCCTTCTTTTCTCCTTTCCTCCATTCCAGATTCTTTCCTTTTGAATAATTTCTTCCCATTTCACGGTATCTATTGTACATTTTGGATTTTATTTAGTCTTTTGGGTTCTCACACTAATGAGACCATATGATATTTACACATGTGAATCTCATTTACTTCACTTATGTGCACGGTTTTGAGCTGCATCCATTTACCTGTAAAGTTCGATGTTATCCTGTTTTGTGGCTGAGTAGCACTCCATTATATTAAAAAAAATTTTTTTTAACAGTCCTCAGTTGAAGGCCATTTGGGTTGTTTCCGAGATTTGGCTCTTACAAATTGTGCTGCTATAAATATGGGTACACATATATTGCAGTGGTATGTTTTTAATTCTTCTGGGAAGATATCCAGAAAGGTATCTTAAAGAAAATAAAAAGAAAAATGGAAGTAAAATAAAACAGTTTCAAGTCAAACTAATAGGAAAGTAACAATAATTAATGTATTACACATTGATGTCTCCCTGTTAATTACTCAGACTACAAGATAAAGACATGCCGAATGTCTAGATAATATTAGCACAAATCTGTCCAATGAACTAAGAGAAACTAAGTGTATACTTATCTTAACTATCCTGTGAATGTACATATTTTCCCTTTTCCTTTCCTTTCTGCTATTAGTTTCTCTTTTCTTTTGAACAGTTTCCTTCTAATTCACAATATCTGTTGTACATCTTGGATATTATTTACTTGTTCAGCTTTATTAGTGAGTTAATTCATTGTTTACACACATGGGTCTGATTTATTTCACTTATGAGTATGGCCTCAAGTTGCATCCATTTACCTTTAGAAGTCTTGAGTTTATCCTTCTTTATGACTGACTAGTACTCCATTATACCTTTAGAAGTCTTGAGTTTATCCTTCTTTATGACTGACTAGTACTCCATTATACTTTTTTTTTTGTTTTTACCCATTCCTTGGTTGAGGGGAATTTGGGTTGTTTCCAACAATCTAGTTATTAAAAATTATGCTGCTATAAAAATAGGAACACATGTATTATTGTGGTTTTTAACTCTTTTGGAATTCTTTAATTCTTCTGGAAAGATATACAGAAAAAAATAGCTGGCTTTAATGGGACCTCTAAACCTAGTTTTTTAAGGAGTCTCCACACTGATTCCACAGGGGATATACTACACTATATTCCCACCAACAGTATTCCTTTACCCCACAGCTCTGCCAGCATGTGTTACTGATTGATTTCCTGATAGTAGCCATTCTTTCTAAAATGAGATTAAATCTCAGTATTGTTTTAATTTGCATCGCTTGAATCACCAGTGATGTTGTACTTTTTTAAAACATTTATTTGCTATTTGTATTTCTTCTAAAAAGTACATATTCATTTCAAATGTCCATGCTAATCCTAATTTTTTGAGGAATCTCCACACTAATTTCCACAGTGGTTGCACCAGGCAACGCTCACATCAACAGTGGAGAAGCATTCCTTTTTCCCCACAGCCCCTCCAGCATTTGTTATTGATTTCCTCAAGATAGCCATTCTCACGGAGTGAAATGGACTCTCAGTGCTGCTTTAATTTGCCTTTCTTGAATGATCGATGAGGTTGAAGATTTTTTCATGTATTTATTTGTAATTTGTATTTCTTCATCTGAGAAGTGTGTATGCCCTCATGTGCCCATTTTTGGATTAGGTCCTTGCATTCAGGGGATCTGATTTTTTTTCAGTTCTTTATATGTTTTAGATATAATTTCTTTGTTTGAGGCACAACTGGCTCTAAATTTTTTCCCACTGTTTACTTTGTCTTTTCCTCTGTGGTGATTCCTTTTCATGTGAAAAACTTTTTGATAAACTAAGATCGTATTTATTGATTCTTTCTAGTATTTCCCATGCCGTCTGCCTACAGCTTTGTCGAGATTTGTACCTACCTTGTCTTCCAGGAGATTGAGTGTCTCAGCTTTAATATTTAGGTCTTTGATCCACTTTGACTTTATAGTGCAGAATGCTAGGCTGGGTTAATTCTTAGTCTTTGGCATGTGAAAAGCCAGTTTTCCTAGCATCATTTAATAAAGAGGCTGTTTTTCTTCCATTGAATATTTGTTTTCTTTGTTAAAGATAAAGTGGGTGAGTGTGTTTGGAGTTGCATCTACATCTTCTATTCTGTTCCACTGATCCTCAGGGTTGGTTTTGTTTGTTTTGTTTTTGTCTTTGCCAGTACCATGTTGATTTTATCACAGTAGCTTTGTAGTATAATTTCAAGTCAGGAATTGAAATCGCTCCTGCCTTGTCTTTGTTGCGTAGAATTGCCTTTGCTATTCTAGGTCTCTTCTGGCTCCAAATGAATTTTAGGACTGTTTTCTCTAATTCTGTGAGGCATGCTCATGGAGTTTTGATTGAGATTGTATTAAATCTGTATGGCAGTTTTAGGACTGTAGCAATTTTCACTATGTTTGTTCTTCCTGTCTGTGAGCAAGAGATATCTTTTTATTTTCTGATACCTTCAATCCTGTTTTTCAGAATACTGTAATTTTCTAGGTATAGAATGTCTACTTCGTTTGTTAGATTGATTCTTAAGTGTTTCATTTTTGGATGCTATTATGAAGGATATTGTCTCCCTTTCTCTCTCTGTGAGGTTGTTGCTCATATATGGGAAGATTATTAATTTTTTTGTACCTGCAGTTGAACTCAGGACCTTCTGCTTGCCTGGCAAGTGCTTATACCACTGAGCTATATCCCCAGCAAGCTATGGATTTTCAAGTGTTGACATTGTATAAAGCCATGCAATTGAATTTGGTTATTAATCAAGGAGTCTTTTGGTGGAGTTTTTGGGGTCTTCTATGTAGAGTATAATGTCATCAGCAAATCATAGTAATTTAACTTCTTATTTTCCTATCCTTATTCCTTTTATTTCTTTCTTGTCTAATTGCTCTAGCTAGTATTTCCAGAACTATATGCAGTAGGATTGGTGAGGCTGGACATCTTTGTCTTGTTCCTGATTTTAGAGAGAAAGCTTCCCACTTTTGACCAATTCGTCTCATGTTAGCTGTCGGTCTGTCACAGGTGGCTTTCATTAGATTGACGTAGAGATCATCTATTCTAATTTTCTGCAGGGTTTTTATCATGAATGGCTATTGGATTTGTCAAATGCTTTTTCTGTATCTCTTGAGATGATCATGTGATTTTTGTCTTTGGCTCAGTTTATATGGTGTATTGCATTTATTGACTGGTATATGTTGAACCATTCCTGCATCTCTGCATCCGTGGGATGTATAGTCATGTTGATGATTTGCTGTATTCTGTTTGACCATATTTTATTAAGGGTTTTTGCATCTATATTCATTTGGGAGACTTCAGTTTTCTTTTCTAGTTGTGTGCTTCTCTGGTTTGGGTATCAGAGTAATGCTTGCTTCTGGGAATGATTCAGGAAGTTTGATTCCCTTTCAATTTCATTAAAGAGTTTCAGCATTAGTGGAGGTAGGTCTTCTCTGAATTTCTTGTAGTATTCAGCAGTAAATCCATCAGAGCCTGGGCTTTCCTTCATTGGTAGGCTTTCAATTATATTTTCAATTTCATTGACTGATACCAGGTTCCTTATATCAGATATTATAATTAGGTTGCTTATAGTTTCCTGATTTAGTTTTGGTATTCATATGTGTACAGGAGTCTGACCATATTTTGTGTTTTCATTTTTTTATTGTACAGGTTCTTGTAGTAGATATTGATAATCTAGATTTCCACAGAATCCATTGTTATTTTACCCTTTTCATTCATAATTTAGTGAATTTGAATGTTTTCTCGTTTTTGATAAGGTTGGATAGAGATTTATCAATTTTATCAAATAATCTTTTAAAGAACCAATTCTTTGATTCATTGATCTTTTGTATTGTTTTGTTAGTCTAAATTGGATTAATTTCTTCTCTGATTTTTATAATTTCCTCTCTTGCACAAGCTTTGAGTTTGATTTGTCTAGCAATTTGGGTTCAACATTAAGTTGTTTATTTGAGCTCAATATATTTTCCTTTTTTTTGCATTTTTTTTTGTCTTTTTCGTTTTTATTGGTACCAGGAATCGAACTCATGACTGCCTGCTTGCAAGGCAGGCACTTATGCCGCTGAGCTAAATCCCCAGCCCAATATATTTTCCTGATGTGGGAGTTTATCACTATAAGTTGCTGTGATATGCCTCTTCTTTAACTTGCATTTATTGAGGTGACCATGTGATGTCTTTGGCTGTTTATATGGTGTATTACATTTATTGATTTGCATACACTGAACCATCCCTGCATCTCTGGGATGAATCCTTGTTGGTCATGTTGTATAATCATCTTGAACCACATATTGAAGTAGGAATTGATAATCTTCTAGTTTCATTAAACTTCAATATGTTTCAATATGTTGCATCTACATATTCATTTAATTGTAAATACTGTTAACTTTCTTCCTTAATTTCCTCTGTAACTTTTCATGTGTTTGTTTAATTTTTGTGGTATCTTTTGCAATTGATTTCCAGTTTTATTACATTGTGGTTAGAAAATATGCATGTGATAATTTCAAACCCTGTGCATTTACTAAAGCATGTTCTGTGAGCTATTATTTGGTATATTTTGGAGATCATCCCATGTGCTGGACTGTGGTGGTGTATACGAACTCATACAATCACAGTGTTTTCATACAAGGGAGGAAAACAATATAACGTGTATGGCTTCCTGGCTAAAGTAGTACAGTTAGCAATAACAATAGTTTCAAGTATGTCTTAGGTACTGATAAGCTGTGGAAACTATTAACTTGATACCTTTAACCACAGGAGCAAATCCTTAAGTGATATAACAAATTCAGTGTATACCATGTACTTATATGCAGTTATTTTCCCCTTAATGGAGTAATTTTACCTTGTTGCAGGGGAGGGGATCTTAAGATGGGTAGGAAGCAATAAATATTGATGAATTAGGTCAAGTAGAGTAGAATCAAGGCTGCAAGTCAAAGGATTGGTCACTGGATTTTTGAGAAACTGGAGGACCCAAAAGGGAAAGAATGAGAGAGAAAATGAAGGGGCATTAAAATAGGTCAGGAAGGGAAAAGACAATGTTTACTCAAAAGTATGATGAATTCAAGAAATGGTTGAGGAAAGAGGATCAGTAGATGAAAACAAAAAGTGACATAAGAAATCTAAACAGTGATAAAAAGGAAGAAGAAGAAGAAAGGACAAAAAGAAAACAACAACAAAAAACAATCACAAAATACAAGACAAAATCCAACCAGGCAGGAAAAGCATAATCAATCAAGATAATAATCAATCAAGATAACAAGATAACAAAAGGAGAATAGAAGTAGGAATATTCCTCTGATGTTCACAGTTGTGTTGTCGTGTCCAAGATAGATCTCAGAAGTGTGCTGTTTGCTCCAGTATAAAGAGCCCTTCTCAGACGTGGTCTTGGAATCAGAAGTTTATTTTGTGATCCTACAGAAAAGTTTTTGGAATTCTAGTGAGTTAACTGCAGTCTACCACTTCCAGTGCAGCCCACAATAAAAATAAAGACACTGAGGCTTATTTATAGTTGCGGGGAGCCAAAAAGATCCTAAGTCCAGGTAGGATGATGGTTAATTGGAACAAAAGCCTTGATCCAGGGCCAAATCTAGGTTTAAGTCATCTGTGAAGAAGGGAGTGGTTTGAAGATGAGTGCCTGTGAGAATGGTGGGAAATATTACACAAGTTCTGTGAGCTGGGCTAGGTAAAAAGTCTGAGATCTCTGCAATATGCAGAGAGAAGGCTATACAGAAAGATATCTGCGTAACACAACTGAGGCAGTGTCTAATGTTTTGGGGTCCGTGCTTCAACTCTGATGTGTAATCTTTATGCCCTGGGAAGTCATAGTCTCTTATCTTGAAGCTCGATCCTTGTCAACACCATGGAGTCTGGCTCACCTTCCTGCCTGGCTCACGTGATCTTTGGGAGTTACAGGGATGGGGGAACACTGCCGCATTGCCTTATTTCAAAGACTTCACATCAGCACCTCAGCCAGGCCGATTTACATTACTTAACACCAACTGAAGGGATAAGGACAAATCCTAGCCAGCTCCATACATATTAAAACATGGAAATAGGGTCAGCTTTAGCTAAAATGGAGGTAATTGTTCTACTTTCTAGGAAAGTCATCCAGTTGGATCTCCACACACCAGCCAAATTTTCTGTGGGATTTGTGCTGGGTATGGAACTGATTTTGCTTCTGAATGTGGGAGCTGGGCAAGTCTTCTGTTGGTGGAGTTCTTTCAGGCCCTTTGAAGGACCTACTGTAAGTCTGTAAGCTGAAGCTCAAAACTGGTTCAACTAACTTACCAACTGCTCGCTCTTCAATGCTGCTTCAGACTTCTGGATGCTGCCGGTGTCGCCTGGACCTGCTGTGTACCTGCACCAGTGCCTGGTTTTGCTGGTCACACCTGTGTGTCTCTGCCTGGGCTTTGCCTAGTCTTGCTGGTTGCTCTGCATTCCGTAGACATGTGTGTCAAATCCAGAACTTGTTCTTTCCAATTTCCATTGACTCATGCATCTTAAATACTGATACTTACCTTACATTTAAATATTGTATTTTGTCATTAAATATGACCTTATTGTATAAGTATGTTTATTTTATAAAATAGATTAAATCATTCCAGGGCTTAGGTTGTGTGTGGAATTCATAAAAATTGCACCAAATGTATTTCTTTAAAATAGAATAATGTCTACCTTATGGAATAATTCTGTAAGATACTAGATGACTTTATTTCTCTGTTTCTTAAACACCAATATAATTACCAATATAATTAAGAATAAAAGTAGGATATAATGGGAAAGAATAGTTATTGCAACTCATTCTCCTAAATGAAATGCATTCTTTGCATGTAGGCTTGGGGTTAACTTCCTGGCTTTACCACTTTTTCTCTCTTTAGGGTTGTTAGGAAACATAAGTCAGTTGACTCAAATTCTTGAGGGTGGAAGGATGTGGGCTGTGTATAGATTTTGATCAGAATGTCTGTGTCCCTGTTGAGCCCTCAGCTTCCTGGTAAAAGGTGTTAGGTCAAATTCCACACCCTGAGCTTGTGGACATCTTTAGGCAAAAACGAAAGGCTTTGAAAGTTCTCATAAAGGCAGAAGAGGAAATGTTACTAAGATTTTATAAGAGAGTAAGTGGCTTTATCAAGAAGGTAGGAAACTCAGCACAGCTATGGCCTGGCAAAATCCTTCTACTCCATCTGTGAGATGCTGGCTGGGTCAGCATAGATTTCAGTTTAAGAAAGGAGTGTTAAATGAATAAGAATTTATCCTGGAGCAGTTAATGCTCAGAGCACCAAAGACACAAAAAGGAGGAGGAGGAAGGATGAGGTGGAGGAGAAAGAGGAGGAAGAAGAGAGTGAGAAGGAGAAAATAGCCTTACAGTCTTCACTGTTTAGATGAGGAAATTAGGACACTTGGAACATACTTAACCTTGCCCAGGGTCATGAGTCTGTGTTGTAAGAGACAGGGCTTAACCTCAGGAAGTTTTAAGCTTGTATCTCTATTAACTCTCACTTCTGGCAAAGACATCCAAAAGAGAGGCCGTAGGGTGGGATTCAGAAGTCCCAAGATAACATGGAGGAATGGACCGAGAGGGAGAGGCAGTGTGTCCGGTGACCAGATGACAGTGTCTGATTTTCAAGCCACCTGTCTGAAATATAGAAACTAGAGGTGTGGGTAAAGGAAATGGAGAGATTTAGTGGCCAAAAGACAAAGATAAATTATTTTATTGTTTGTAAGAGATCCAGAAGGAACCTTAGACTTATGTTTTTAATCACTGCTTTGCAAATTTAATTACTTTAATAAAAACTTCATTCTCACTCTATTTTTGAAAGTTCCTGGAGAAATAATAATATTTTTACCTCAGGGTTAATGAAATTTTTTCTGGTATTGGGAATTTTTTGGAAAGATTTTTATTTCTAAATTCATGCTACATAATTAAATGCAGCTTAAAGTTCATCTTTCTAGGAACTGGACACTGAGCAGTGTGATCAGTGGCCTCTCTGGGTAAGAAGTAGCTTTTTCTATTAAAGTGTACAGCTTAAGAGATGACACTGTAAGCTTTCTCATCTACAAATAAAAGTCACATCTCTGTCTTATGGGATCCAGTGTTACTGCAGTTATTTTAATCATTTTGCATTGGCTTAGTAGGAAAATTATTTTTTGCTAATTTATTATAGCTCAAAATTTATTTCACATATATAAATGCAGCAGTTTTTATGAAAGTTAAATTAGAAAATATTTTCTTATATTAAAAATTAAATAGGTATGGGATACTACTCTGCCATGAAGGAGGATACACTTGAGTCATTTGTAGGGAAACGAGTGCCTCTTGAGACCATAATGATAAGAGAAATAAATATGTAAGCTTAAATACTACATGGTTTCTCTTATACGAAGAAACCTAAAATATAAAGAGATAATAGGAATATGTGAATATGAGTATATGAGTATAAATGAAACATAACAGCAAATAAGAGGATAATAAGAATATAAATAGAAGATAACAGTAAATAAATAGGAAGATAGACCCTTTTCAGATGTGAATTTCAGATCAAGAGACAGAGGAAGGGATGAAGAAAGGGAGGGAGGTGAATGAAAAAGAAATGAGGATGTTTTACGCACCAGCTTGCCATGAAGAATGTAATCCGTGTGTACTACAAATATGTACAAATAAAATTTTAAAAATCTAAATTTTACTGTTTTACTGTTGGGAATAATTGTGGATTCACAGAAGCATAAATGATAATATTTTAAGAAAAACATTAAAAACATTTGGAAGAAGAAATTCAGAAGTTATTTTAAAAGCTCAGTTTGGAAATAGAACAAACAAAATAACAGAATGACTTAAGATTTGTTAGTGAAGGAGGAGTGATTGTAGGTGACATTTGGAATTGTACTACTGTTATATCACCTGTGTACTTCTGAGTTATGAAAATGTATGCATAGTTTAAGATGAAAAATAAACTATTAGGGATTCTAAACATATTCTTTACCAAAGTATATAAATAATTAAAGAAATTGATATCTAAAATTCGATAGAATGTTTATTTATATTTAGAGCATGTGTATAATTTTCAAACTCAACATTGAATAAATCTCAAAATATAACAATGTATTGCTTTTTGTTTTAGAAAAATAGAATTTTAAATCTAGATTTGTTAATTGTATTTTTAAAAATCCAGTACCTCAATAGTCTGTCTCCTTGCCCCCCTCATTTTTAGCAGGTTTCCCAGCAGCTCTAGTGGCCGCTAAGTACTAGATAAACATTGTTATACTCCAGCACAGTAGTGCAAAATTTTGTGAACACAGTAATGAGATGTGTTGTTTTTCAGAAATACTCTGTTCCTTGCCTTCCTTTCC